GGGGGGGATACTGGGTCCCTGGTACCGGGGCCCGGGCCCCGGAGGGAGCCCGTGTTACCCGTGAAAAACCACTACGAATTCACATGCAACCCTTGTTTCGTAAGAAAAAGTGAAAAATATACCGCAAAAATTTCGCAAAAGGTGAATAGATTTTCAGAAACACGCTGGGGCACTGTAGAATCTTTCTTAAATTTTTAAAGAAGTATACTTCTTGGAAAATGTCTGTCTATTTTCAAGGTTTTTCAGTACAGAGGGATATTTTTAGAAACTGCGTTTCATTTTCTTCCGTCGTCAGATGATAAGAGTCTCCAGTTTGGGCATCCTCGACTTCAATGGCTCATAGCTCAACTCCCTTGCCATAGACAAACGAAGGGGAAGTCCAGGGGGGCCTGGCCCTCTTAGAACTGAAAATAGTATCATATGCCCCNCCCCAAAAAAAAAAAAAAATTCCAGATATTTTGAATGCAACAATTCGCAAGTATTTTTTGCTGAAAGTAGAAAAAAAATATAATTATTCAGCAGAAATTGATGGAACAATTCTTTATGGAAGCTTCAAAATGCGTCCGATTAGTCGTACAAATTCTAAAATTTCTCGAAGGATGCCCCTCGGACCCCCCCCCCTCCGTGCTTGGGGCCCGGGCCTTAAAACTGGTACCAAGGTCCGAGATGGGATGTGCCGAGCCTGCATATGAAAGCTATTTCCATTTAAATCTTCCGTCACATTCTTACGGCGCAATGATACAACTATTTGAACTTTCCGGAATGCGTGAGGTATCACGCCGCATTTGAAGGCGTTTTCAAAACAGCCAAGTTCCGATATCGGATTAATCAATTTGCATAGTTCATAGTATTTTGTTTTCATTTCTACCCACTTGTTTATTAATAATCCTCCTATAAAAATTACCCATTTGCTATATACAATTCTAGCTGTAGCGCACTTCAGCTATTCATTCTTCACTGCAAATCACGGAAATCGAAAAGGCCAGCGTGCATGAAGGCTATTTCAATTGTAATTTTCCGTCGCATTTCTAAGGCGCAATGATACAACTATTTGAACTCTCCGGAATGCGTGGGGTATCACGCCGCATTTGAAGGCGTTTTCAAACAGCCAGGTTCCGTTATCGGAATAATCGTTTTGCATACTTCATATTATTTTGTTTCCATTTCTAACCTCTTGTTTACTTATAAGCCTCCTATAAAAACCACCCATTTGCTAAATACAATTCTAGCCGAAGCGCACTGAAGCGCATTCATGACTGAAAAAATGTTAACGGAAATCGAAAAGGCCAGCGTGCATGGAGGCTATTTCAATTGTAATTTTCCGTCGCATTTCTAAGGCGCAATGATACAACTATTTGACTAATTTTGACTTACGCAGAATTTGAAGGCGTTTTCAAATCAGCTAAATTCCGACACCCGGATTATCGTATTACATAGTTCATATTCTTTTGTTATATTCCGTACCCGTCGTTTATTTTTAATCATCGTAGAAAAACCACCCATTTGCTAAATACAATTCTAGCTGGAGCGCACTTCAGCAATAGAACGCACAACAAACATCATTCAACAAACAATATAGTCAAATACAATAGAGACAATGCACATACATAAGTAAAATTCAGCGCTTCAGAATAGAAATGTTTAAATGAATCAAATACTCTAAATGAAGAAAAATTGTTTGCTGTAAATTTTATAAGTTTAAAGTAGAGACATATTAACTGACTTGTGAATGAAAATTAATTCAATTTAGGCCTATTTTGCTGGAAAATGCATCTTTCTGAGGATGTCGCTACAACATAGACTCTTTACAATAAAAATATTGTATAACATATATTGCGGGAATAGACTCCCGAAAAACTGGCATTTTTTAAAAATAATTTGGATATCGATTTTTGTTAAAACTGCCTGTTTACCCGTAGCTTCCTTTCAACCATTTTCGTATAACATCCATTAATACGTACTTACACACGCTCAAAATAAAGAATAAAACCGAGCATTGAAAGCCTCTTGAATATCGAATAAATGACCGAGCTTCCGCAATAAATCAATCTCATTATTAATTGTCATGTCATTGAGCATGGCATCTCTTGGTATAACCAATCTTTATTTCTTCAAGTTCTTTCATCGATCAAAATATAATATGCATGTCTGAGACCAATTAAACGGGAAAAGATTGAGATGGATTATAATTTAAGTTACCCGCTCCCCGCTCCAGCGAAAATGTCCCTTGCTAAGTTTCCCGTTAAACTTTCCCTGACGTTATAAATACACAATAACTGTTTAGAGGAGGAGCGGTGAAGTGAATTCTGCTTTATGAAATCCTTGCGGTCCTTTTATTATGCGAATCATACTCCATTTGCCAGCATCGCGCGTGTATTACTTTAACTCTCTGATTTTTGTAATGCTCCTCGATATAATATCGCAAAATATTCACGGACTTCATGTCTAGGTATTATTGAACATTAGTGCTTTCCTTATTTTGGAATACCGAATTTTATTCGCTTTTATAATAGTTACCAATCCGTCCAATTTTCATTTTATCGCGTAAATCTGTCTTAAAGTAAAACGTGTAGATGAAGTGTGCATCGTCATTATTATTCCAAGTTTTTTTTTCTGCTTTAAATAATTCCAGAATTTTGTCCATAAATTATTGCCGGTAGCTTAGTGCTGTGGGGCAACACCAACATGTTTGATTTTCTCCTACGCAGCATTTACATCAAGTGTCTCTTATTTTTTGATTAATTTCTTAAAGGGTTTGATCCGTCTCTAAAATGCGTGGTTTTAGTCACATAATTTTATTCTAGAGGAACACTCGTCAATGTTTGGAAAAAAACCGTATAAATAAATCAATAAAAATTGGGTTGATACTCAAGGAGTCCCAGGTCTTACGATTGCCATGGCTTAGGAGTCATCCTATTGACGGATTTTTTGCTGCTGGAAAATAATCTGGCCTAACCATGACCTCAGCAAACCTCGATGCCGCTCTTAACCAGGTAAAACTCAGTTATAATTCGTTGCAGTAGCTTTGGCATCTGACACAATATCTTTTTATTGAAAAATAATTTTGATTTTATTGGAGAGAAAAGTACATTTTTTAGGGCCTTAAAAAGTTGGAAACATGTTGGAACGACGAGGGTTACTTTTGTCCCGCGGGCCTTTGACGTGATAATTAATCCGATTTTTAACATTTTTGGCACTTTAGGACGACTTTTCTTGGAAATTTAACAACGTGAGAAATAGTTACTGAAGTAAAACATGTTTCATTCATTTTTTTCGTTCTTTCCGAAAAATACACGATTTCTAGGTTAAATTAAGTTTTACATGTGTATAGGTCGTCTTTCTGCGAAATGGAACTATGTGCATTATAAGACTTGAGCCCTGAGACTCATAAGAATATGTGCATAACAGGGCTCACGCCATTATGCTCATTG